TCCAGGGCCCCCGAGCCCGTTCGGCGTCGGAGCCCGCTCGGCCGCGGAGCGGGCACGCTCCGCCAGCGCGGCGCGGCGGGCGGCCCGTGCGGCAGCCGAGCAGGCTCGCTCCGGAGCCTTTGGTCGAGCAGTTGCGAAGCGTCCTGGCGCGCCTGCCGGCCCACCAAAGAGTGTTCTGAGCACCTTGTGCGGTGTGCACGACATGTTCATAGAACATTTCTGGCTGGGACTGTCTTGTCTTAGCACATCGGGTTTAGGTTCTAAGAACAGTGCTGTTGCTCCTAGAACATGTTTGGGTTCTAAGACGATTTCGTGGTAGTCCTACAGGAATGCCGGGACGGTCGGTCCCTGCTCAATTTGGTGGCCGTTGCGTCGGCGGCCTTTGCGGGCAAAGCTTCGCTGCCGCGAGGACGGCACGTTGGAGGCGGCAGGGATAGGGGGAGAGGCTCGAGCTTCTGGATTCCAGGACTGTCAAAACAGATCCAGGGAGAAAAAATGCATCAGATGGGCCCCGGGAAGGGTTCGGGGACAGAGGTACGGTGCCATCTCCAATGTGGATGTGTTCTCACGTGAACGTAGCATTTCCAGATGTCCAGCGCCAGATGCACGAGAGACCCTTTTCTGTTCACCCCATCGCCCCTCGGAGCATGCCTCCGCGCCAGTCTCTGGAATCTGAGCCATCGGCACTTCCAAAGCACATTCGGCGGCCGAATCGGCTCAGACGCCAATCTTGCTCAGAAGGAAACCCTGGGGCAGGACCGGCATTTCATCCTGAATCGCCATCGCCAGCGGTCCAGAATCGGTCGATATCGAGTGATCCGCACTTTCGGAAAGCCGTGATCGCTTACGGTTCCACCTACGACCCATGGGCGTCCCTATATAGCGTCTCCGCGCACATAGCGGCATACCCGTCACACGGATCACGCCTCACAGGGAGGCCCTTTTGCGGCCCCAGCGCGGGCTTGCTTACAGCGTCTCTGCCCATTTTGGCACAACCCTCACACGGATCGCGCCCCATGCAGAGCTTCACCGACGGCCCCAGCGGGGGCGTCCGTGTACAGCGTCTCCGCTCCAGTTTTGGCTGACCTCTCGCACGGATCCCGCCCCATGTAGAGTTCCCCAGGCTTCCGCCGATTGCAGCACACCTCTCACACGGATCGCGCCCCGTAAGTTGGCCATAGGGAGATCCACGCGCGTTTCTGCGCCTGCTTCGCCCTGATCTATCCCTCCCTCCCGCTGCGCGCAGAGCGGTGGAGAGGACCGTGCCCTGCGCTCAACGCAGCTGCACAGAGATGGGCCCCTCTTCAGGCTAGTTGACTGCCCCCAGGTCCCGCAAACGGAGCCCCGGAGCCGAGTGTAGCGATACTGCTCCCGCTGGAGGTCTTGGAGGAGGCAAATCAAGGAGCGGAACAGGACGATGAGGAGGAGGGGGAGCATCAGCAGCAGGAGGACGATAATGATGATGATGCTGATGATGATAATGATGATGATGATGATGATGATGATGATGATGATGATGATGATGGTGGTGCTGGTGCTGGTGATGATGATGTTGCCGATAATGATAACGATGATGATGATGGTGGTGATGATGATAATGATGGCCATGGATGATGATGTAGCTGATGGTGATGGTGATGACGATGCCGATTATGCTGCTGATGATGATAATCATGCTGATGACGACGACGATGATGCTGATGATGATAATGATAAGGGGAGGAGGTCTATGATGACGTTGATGCTGATGCTGATGCTGCAGATAATGCTGATGATGATGAGGACGAGATGCTGCTGCTTTGAAGGTGATGATGCTGATGATGACGCTGCTGATGTAATGACTGTGCTGGTGATAATGATGATGATGATGATGACGATGATGATGATGATGATGATGATGATGATGATGATGATGATGATGATGATGAGGATGATGATGGCAATGATGCTGCTGATGCAACTGCTGCTGATGATGCTGGTGGTGATGGTGATCATGATAATGATGTTGCTGTTGTTGCTTATGATTCTTATCTGGAGGAGAAGGAAAGGAGGAGGCTGAGGAGTCTGAGCAGGAGGAGGAGGAGGCAGAATATCAGGAATTACATGATGAGGAGGAGGCCGCGGAAGGAGGAGGAGGAGGATGAGGAAGTCGACGGCGTCGACGAGTGCGAAAAGGATGAAACAGAGCCCAGCGAGGTTGGGACCATGGCGCTGATGAAGGACGTGCTGCAACGCATGGGGCAGGACGGGGCCACGGGAATCCTGGTGGGGTAATAGCAGTAGTCGCAGTAGAACGAGGAGAAGTCGTTGATGTGGTTGTAGGGGTAGACGCAGGAGTGGTAGCCGTAGTGGGCGCAGTAGCAGGAGCAGTAGTTTTAGCTGTGGTAGTAGTAGTCGTAGTAGTAGTAGTAGTAGTAGTCGTCGTCGTCGTCGTCGTCGTCGTCGTCGTCGTCGTCGTCGTCGTCGTAGTAGAAGTAGTAGTAGTAGTAGTCGTAGTAGT